AAACCTGCTGATGAAGAGCAGAAACGTAACATTTGCAATTAAGGGATTGTTATGTGAAGAAACCAGTGAAAAAGTTAAGTGAAACGTAAAATGAATACTTGTACCTATATCTGGTGTTTATGTAACTTTAGTTTCTCCAGTTTCTGATTACATTTTCCTCCTTTGTAAACTAGTCTCATGTTCAACAATCTTACAATATGATTTAAACCACAGAAGAAGTAAAAATACTGGTAAACAAGAAAGTAGCTAAAATCAGAAAGATTTAAAGGTTCTATTTGAGGTCCTCTTTTATTTTGAAGAGATGTGAACCAAACTAAAATTAGTTATATCGTGACTGTACCTATCAGTAAGAATCACCAGTGTGACAGAAGAAATTCTATTGAGTTCCTAAGGCAATTACAGGAATCATTGTCTGAGAAATGTCAGCCTTAGAAGGAGTTAGCATAAACTGAGATGAACTCTGGCTTCCAAGTTATTGTCCTTGGAAATGGATACTGTTTTTCAATAAATTTGTCTCAGTTACTACTGCTATATTATTTTAGAAAGTCCCATATAAGTTTCTGTGGGAACTATGGACAGGAAAGAATGGTTTCAGTGTGACATTAATTTGAATATGATAATACTACACTAGAATGAAAGTATTTTTTGAGCTGAGAGGAGCTGTGCTATGAAAATATTTAAGAGGAGCTATGAAATTTCTTTTACAAAGATCTTCCTTACTAAGTGTCATAAAGCTGATCATCATCTATATAAATTAGTCCTCCACCTTACCCCTCAATACTAGCTCTACTGTCACAAAAACATGGAATAATTGGAGTGTCATCTTTGTATTACATTCTGCTCTAGTGGATAACCTCTGCTATGAAGAAGGAAAGATGAAATTCTCCAAATTATTTGTCACACATTTCAAGTCTTCACAACTATTAAAAATGGGTCTGGATTCTAAGGATGGTTAATTTATCACGTGCAGGTATGGTGTCATATGCTGAGTTACATCATGAAAATAGCACTTGAAATGTATCTGTTAATAGAGAGAACAATCATATTCCAAGAATTCTGGGAAATGAAATATCTTTATCATGGCAAATTGCTTGGTAAATCTTTGAAACGATACATAGAAACATCCTCCTACTAGCATATCATTTAAGGTACTTAAATGGCAAGTCAAACTTCACAAGAAAACTGTTTGCAGTATTACTTTCTTCTCTGCTTCAAAATATTCACACTTCTCACCTTTCTAGGAAAATTAGCATTCTGATAAAGGAGTTTATTTCAGAATCTGGAAGATAAAGAGACAAAAGAGAACATGTTTCTGGCTTCTCTCTAAAATCTTATCTTCAAGATTTCCACTTCATCGGTGTATCAAACTGTTTTTAATTGCATATAAGAGAGGGACATGAACTATAATAAATCGGTTTCTTCTTACATGTCACAGTGTCATAGAATCACAGAATCATAAACGATAGGATAGTTTGTGTTGGAAGGAAGCTTAAAGATCATCTGTTTCCCTGCCATCAATTCCCCTGCCGTGTGCAGAGACACCTTTCAGTAGTCCAGGTTTCCCAAGTCCCCATCACACCTGCCATTGAACACTTCCAAAGAAATACAGTGCTGTATGTTGATCCTTTGTTTTGTTATTCATACTAGGTAAAATGCCTGGTGACGTCAATACTATCACTTCTTCTAGGAAAGGAAAAAACCCATCAGGTCCACTGAGCAATAAACAGCACAAGAGCCAGTGAAGAAATGGAGGCATGTCTTTTGTGTAATGATGATACAAACTTCTGACATTGATTACAGTGGAAGCATTTATTGTGCAATGTTCTCCTAGAAAATGTATTAGCAGGAAACATACCAATATTCATTAGTGCTTTCCCCATCCTGCACTCGGAGACTGCTCAGCATGAGAAAGATTAAATAGTTTTGCTAAATATATTATCTCCATTCTAATGACCTGTTCAGCTACGTTTCTGCCACATCTCAAGCTATTCAGTGCTGTTTCAACAACATCTTACACACTTTATTCAGCAAATTGCTATGCAAAGGAACAAAAACTTTATGAAGGCAAAAGCTACAGCATGTGCACTCAAAATACACGCGCCTGTTTAATTCAACAAGTGATGTAAAAAGAGAGAACAATGAAAAGAGGTGAAAATGAAATAAAAGTTTATTCGTCAAGATCTGCCCCCAAATATTATTGAATTACTAATTTTCAACCAGATTCAACAGTCTTCATCACACAACTCCAATTGAAGTTATGATTTTTAGAATTTGTTCTGCAGCTAGTAAGTGCCAAAGCACACAAACAGCTAATTGCACTTGTCTGTGCAGTACTATTAACATTCCTCAGCAATGATAAACATTCCTGGGTCTAAAATCTATGAAAAAAATATATTGCATTGAATGTTGTGTCCTACAGCTTTCGTAAAAGTTGCCATACCTTCACTGCCAACCTTAAGCAGATTCCTTTCTTTACCCCCTTTCTTGTAACAAGTCATTCCTTCAGACATTAACTTGGTTATTCTGTTAGTTTATGAAACACACTGTGTACTTTTATTCTGTCTTCTGTTTACCACAGTATAAATGTAACTTGTTATTGCTTTTCCATATTTGTAAATATTGTTCTCAAACCTTGTTTAATAGTCTCCTATTACTATAATTATGAATACGTTTGTACCATCCCAAAAAGTGGTATGTGTTACAGAGAAAAAAGCTAGCTGTTCTTTGATAGCAACAGAAAAAATAATATTCTTCATTTAAACTCAGTTTGCTTTACAAGGGCATTAACACACTGAAACTGACATTATTAATAGTGCAGCTTTAATTAAAAAGCTACAGAAAGGAAGTTCATTTTAGGTTGCAGAAATGCAGTATTTGTGCAGAAGCTGATTATTTAAGCCAGAAATTAATGAAATGTGAAACTGATTATGACATATATTCTCTTCAGTCTCTGCAAATTACTTAATCTATTAGAGAAGTCAAAGTAAGTATTACTCACACTGGATATACAGGCACTACAATAGCTTCCCAATGAAAGGAGATTCTTTAGTTAAAAAAAAAAGTTTTTAATATTCCATGTACAGCAAAGATATCAGAAGATAACCAGCATTTGTAGCAGACATCCTTCCTGTTGATTATTCTATCAGTTTACAGGCAGAGAGTCCTAACCAAAGTCTGAGTACATGAAAGAGCAGAGGTTAGAAACTCATCAATCACGTACCACTGATAGTGTTTTCTTCCTACTTTTGCTTTGCAGCTGAATTTTACTGCTGAACAGATCCATGTGCTTTGACACTGCAGTGACTGAAAACTAGACATGCTTAAGAGATTTTGGGTTTGAGCTGCTTGTAGCTAACTTTTCCATGGTCTGTGCACCTTGCACTAAGAGACGAAGAGTCTAAATGAGCTATATATGCCTAGGTCTCTATTAAACAAAACCAAATTGAAAACAGAAATAAGTCTCAAGAGTTTTGGTCATGTACATGCTTTGTTCCCATTTTGACAGCAGCATTAATGGATACTTTTCTATCTGTTCTCTCCATTCTTTGCTTAGTTTTCCTTTTGTGCGTTTTATTGTCTGACCTACTTGATGCTTCGCTACATGGCACATTCCATCCACACTCACTGAACGTGACAGACATGCTCAGACATTTGGCGGTGTTTGAAAATATTTCTTGCTCTAAAATCAATGCAAGAAGTTTAGTGTAGGTAAATGTAAGTAGGCTAAGTGAAGATGAAAAATGATAAATAGAAATGCTATTTTTAATTTTTTTTCTTCTTTTTTTTTAAATTCCACTAGTATAAGATTCTTTATGTCTTTCAGACAAAATGTAAGATTATTTTTTCAAGACTAATCTCAGTAAGTCTGTTCTTCTCAAGGATAGGATGAATCCTAGTTCAAGAAGCTGTATTTTAGGAAAAATAGATGACAACAACTTGGGGCTTGCTGTGTAGCATCTTTAAGCATCCCAGAAAACTGAATTTGCTTTTTAACAGAATTATTTTTCTTTAACATTATCTGCAAGAATTATTTGTTTTTCTAGCAAAGCTCTAGAAAGCATGTAATACATGTAGAGTAATGTTAACTTGAGATCCTGTTAATCATGTACTTAGCATCTGTATTTTTAGGACAACAAATGACTTTTGCTCATCATTTGTGATGCGTGAAGATTCCTGACAATGAAAGGATATAAACAAATTCAAGAAAATATTACCATCTGAAATATTGTCAGATTTAATAGGTGGAAGGAGATAAACTGAGTTACAGCATGCCACTTTGTGATTTGAATCCTGGAAAATAATAGATTTCATAGGCTGCCCTATGTCCAAGGTCTCTATTGAGCATTATTCAAGATATCTTATAAGGTGGAAAAAGAAATCATGCTGTATAGTAACCTTTCAATCCCGGCCTGAACCACTGATTGAGCACCAGGGGAAGGGACCCAGTCAGTCCTGGGATCACAGGTGAAGACAATTCATCTGTGTGACAAGAAGGGGTGGAGCCTGGCTGCACCTCTCTTAGATCTCATTGAAAGGCTATCTGAGAGTAGGGATCTCTTTCTGGAGATCCCTTCCATGTGGAGTTTTCCTTCTGAGCCTAGATCTTTAGGGCTAGGTGAGCACTTTTCCTTTCTCCTTGTAACACCTTTCCATCACACTAGTCCTTTTGTCATTACATCTCCTGTACTGCTATTCCATTGTGTTGATCTTTCTGATTGTTACACATGGTAGATTAAATTTACATGTTTTTCAGAATATACTGCTTTCTAAAATGAGGAAAATGAAAGAATTAAATTATGGATACACAATTGCCTTGAAAGATATTGGAATTCTGGTCTTTAACAAATGAAGAACAACTCCAGAATGAAATTTCTATAATGAAAACTTCAAATGCTATATATCTGTACTTGCATAAACTCTATCAGTTTGTGGAGAACTATATAATCAGTTAAAGCTTGTAATTACCTCAGCAAGCAAAGAATTGAAGTGGCTGTACTTACTACGTCAGCACAATAGCTACAGCATCGTTTAGGACACTCTCTCCAAACAGAAGTGTGTACAAATCTGTATCCACGTGCAGCTCATTGAAAATAGCAAGGACTGTCACTGTATGGAGACAAAACAGTGGGTTTCTTATTTTCATATTCCTCTGGCAATTCAAGAAATAAAGCAAGTGTTAGTATATGGGTTTTGGAAAGTCTAGTCTGATTTATTACCTAAAGGGTTAATAACTTAAAAGAGATCAACAAAGGTATATATAATATCCTTAAATCTAGCAATTCTATGTATTTTGCTTCTCCAGCTAATTAGGAAAATACTTTCCTTCTTACACAAAGAATCATGCATAATTCAGAACATCACAGCATACTTTACTGTGCAAAAGGGCTTTGGTGCTGTTGCCAGAGAGTAACGAGGATGCTGAAAATACTCAGGTTTTGCCATTTGTTTTTTGAGTTATGAGAGTAGTGATTTGCATACTTTAGGATGCTTATGGTAACATTTATCCATCTGTAATGTGCATTTATTGAGAAACACTTGAAGGAAAAAATAACCTTGTATCCTGTCCTACTAAAAATACAACCACTTTTACTTTAAGTGCAGCACACTCATAGTCAGGAAGGCTGCTCATCCAGATTAGGACAATTGATACTTACAACCCATTTTAAAGTCCCTTCAATCAATTTAGGCTTCTTTCATTTAGAAATGTAAATCATTTAAACACACATTTGTAAGGGTATTTAGATACTTTTTTCATATTTGGTATCTATGTCCTATAAATTTTAAAGGACACCTAAGTTAATTTATTTCACAGTGTTTTAACCTGTAAACAGATGATCACAGTTCCTTCCTAGACCTACCTAGCATTGCAGAATCTCTAAATGGAAAAAACAAACAAACAATCAAAAAACCCCCAAACAATACAAAACCCAGGATATTCTGTGAATACATATATTCAGATTTTTGCTTATTTAGGCAATGCTGCTTTAATGTGCTAAATGTGGATCCAATTTAGTCTCCCATTCTCTGATGTCATTAGTGTAACAACAGAGTTATTCTCTAAAACGCTTTGCTTCTTCCAGCTTTTGCTCATTAGTTAATTGATTTGGGCTTACACTAATAGTTCCTCCAAAAATGATAGAAGGAAAAAAAAACCAGTGCTTGAATTCCTAGCTTATTGTTGGTATTTAAGTACAGCAGGCCAAGTAAATTAGATTTTTACACATTTCTCTCCTTCTTCTTACCTCCTACAAAGCCAACACATTTTCTTTTTTCAAAGCATATTCTCATTGACTCCCAACTCTACCCTAAAGATCTAATTACAGATCTCTTCGAATAGCAGAAGAATACTTTTATAAACCCCGTTTTCCCTCCCCTTTTTTTTTTTTTTTTTTTTTTTTTTTTGCCATATGTTGGTCTCAATTACTCATTTTAAGACTATAAACTTAAAATTCTTTTCACTAGTAAATGCTGATTTCTCATCTTCCATTGATTATTCCTAAATATAGAATTTTAATGTTGATTTCAAACTATTGCAAGACTCATGTTGAGTTCTAATTCTTACATTCCAAAGTGTTTTCTATCTCCTCTCAGCATAGTATTGTACATTAAAGAAGCATCCTCTACTGCATTATCCAATTCATTAATGAAAACGATAAATGGTATCTGCACAAGAATGAAGAACTGCAGAATCTTTAGCACATCCATGCCAATTAAGAATTCAGGAGAACATTTTCACCTTGTTTTGCCAAACGTCATCTAGTCATTTACTCAACATCACATTTGACTGGTTTGTGAATGAGAATCTACAAACATACTTTGGAATGGGCATGTTAATACTCAATAATGAAAAAAAGTTAATTTAAATTGCTCTCTAGGTACAATAAGATCCTATCTATGAATTATCTGTGAGTGGTCCTTGTCTAAAACATTCACAATATGCTTTGTCTGATGGATGACTTGAAAATTTAAATTTAAAATTTGAATTTAAAACTTGAGTATTTGCCTTTATATACAACAGTAACATGTCTAATCTGTGAGAACTTTCATACGTAAGTAAAGGTAAGTAGTCTTTAAATACTACATTGCAGTAAATGTGGTCTCCTTGGCTTTCTGAAATATCAGCAAATTTCAACAATCTCTAAGGTTAATGTCTCTGTTTTGTATTTGAAAAGAACAAGGAAACTCGGACAATAAATGTGACCATTATATAAAGTACTGGTATTACACTGCCTTCATATTCTGAGTAGAAAAATTAATATCTTTCATAACTTATGGCCTAACAACTGTAAAGAAAATGAGAGGAATCTCACTTATGTCTCTCATCAAGTTTCCTTTGAAAATAACAATTCCAATTTTAATTATAGACTCCTTTCCCTGCTAATCCGTCACACCATTCATGGATTAGTTCAGGGGTGAACAAGAAGAAAGTATTAAAATATGTTAATTAAAAGCACATTTATAAATAGGCTTTTATAACCAGTGCAAAAACGTATTATCTTGTGGTATTTATAAACAGTTTTTTTTAATGCAAAATCCTCTGATTATGCGTGAAGCAAGAACTGTTCTTTCCAATAAATACCCTATTTTATCAATGACAACAGAATTGTAACTCACATACTAGGTTCAGCTGTAACCATAGTAACTTCAAATAGAAAAGTGCTTCATGATTATCGATATGACCAAAGGTAAGGGAGGTTGTGTAGCTTAGAAATAGCTGTGCTTCAGCAAACCCTGTGAAGGCAAATCTCTCTTCTCTGCTTGAAATATCAAAAGAAGTGCTAATGATACATGAAATGTCTTTGGATTGGAAGGTCACTGCACAGAATGCGCTAACAACAACAAAAACAAACTGCCAAAGCTGTACTTTCCAGTTATTTTTTTGGTGGTAAAGGCAGAAGTCAATTTTTTTGTTGATCTGTCAGTCTTCTGTCATTTACATTATTCTGTTACAACCACTGCTACCCTGAGGCAGCCTGTTTCTGGGACTCACTGCTGCATCTGCCTTTTGACTGTGGAGGACAATTGATGGCAGAATAACCTTTTCCATGCTCACACATGAGGCAATTTCATTTCACTCAGGAATCTGGAGCTGGGACTCCACTCCCCACATCAGCACCTTTCCACAGTCATTTTGCTGCACGTTATGAACGATGCCATGTACTACAATGCAGAGATAAACAACTGCTCCATCCTTTCTGAAGGAACCACAACAAAAAACCTTTCACCCTCCAGAACTAGGTTATATTAGAAATAAAATGCAATACTAACACAAGGGAAACCCTTTCAACAGTGAAAACACTGCAATAACAGAATTTGTGCAGATGTAATTAATTCTAATTTAATTAAAATTTGAGTAGATTAAATCACAAGAAGACATGGTTACACAAAACACATGACAAATGATACCTGTTTAACAGAATGAAGAAAACTATATGTATTGGTTTGACTTTTTGAAGACTAATGAAGGATGAATTTGATACACTTTTAAAATCCTATTTCTCAAAAATTAAATCTCTCACACAAAGTCTTTCTGCTGAAAATGAAAAGATATTGGAGGGAGATGCATATTTTTTTTAGAAGAGTGATTCACTTGAAAGAATCCTGGCTTTGTCTTGTAAAGTTTTTACTTTATTTTTTCTAGAAAGCTAACGTTTTTGGGGACATCTGTAAGTATGACAGACATTTAGGGATAACAGTCTATACTACAGAAATGTAGAAACATAAGTAAATATATGAGGGAATGAAGATTCTTAAATTGTAACGCTCAAAGCAATTTTGTTTTTAAATTTTTTCCTTTCAGTTAAAATTTGGTGTAATACTTGCATTTGTATTAGTTTGTGAAAATTCAACTACATTGACTGGAAATTAGATATAGGAATCTCAAACCCAATCTAAAGTATATCCAGCCATAATTACTTTTCTTAATTGTTATTCAAGTGCAAGTTTTCTATATAAGGAAACCTGTAGGATATTGGAGACTGTTTTCTCAATTTTATGCAAAAAAAAATATCTATATTGAAGATCTTTAAATACATATAGAATGCTTTGTCTTTATTTCCTTCTTCCTGACAATTTCAGGAACTTCTAACTGGCATATTTGTTTACTGTCCTGGTAGTAAAATTCTTCATTGAACATGTAAGCATCTACCATCATTTTTACTATTACAAATAAGGAATTCAATCAAAAAAAAAAACTTCCCCCAAGTCAACAGATCTGTTTTAACAACTTTTGAGACTTGATTGCTGTTCACAACCATGGGAAATTAAAACTGTTTTTGAAATGAGTTTATAATCCTGCCAGTGAAAAAATTAAATTAAAAATCAGGCAGCATATATGACAGGAATTTCTTATTTCACTCTAGGACTGTACGACATTATTCTATCGTACTTTCAGACACCAACAACATTTTACCAGAAATTGCTCTTCATTAAAGCTACATATCATACATAAAATCATTAGACTCATTATTTTATATGGTCTAACATCTATCAGTCCCCAGGAGACCATGTTTTAATTGAACCTGTAATTTCAGTGAGCTCTTTGTATGGTTTGAAATCAAAATTTACTATCAAATTCTACAACACAGTGAAATATTTTCTGCAATGTCTACCATTAATGTAAGAAAAATATTCATTCAAAATTCTGTAAGGCATGGGTCAGAAATTCACTGATAAGTTTACTTAAAGATGTAACAGCTTAGAATCTTGTAAATAGATAACAAAAAAAGTAAGACTGAACATTCAGACAACTCTTGGACACGTATACGGGCACTCTATATAAGTGGAAGAATAATTAAAAGTAGCATTAATAGCTGATACAGTTAATAGTTATTAGGTATGGAGTTATTAGCTGAGAAAAGTAGTTCTCGTTACTACTTCTTCCTTCCAGTGCATTTCTCTCTCTCTTTTTTTCTCTCATGACTCTTCTAGATTACTCAGTGGTGATTTAATACTATTATAGCCAAAATCACTCTGTTTGTCTTATACATATCTCCTTATAAATCAACATTTTCATTTGGGGATCTAAATAGAGTTGGAATGGAAAATGGGAAAAAAACTAAGCCAACAACACAACTCTATTCATAGTACAATCAAGAAGTGTACTCAGTTGCTTTAAGCAACCTTTTATTCCAGAAGCAATTATTTGTCTTATGTTTAATTTGTGCTTTTAGTTTCTGTGTTCTTCTCTTGCTGTGAGGATGGGCTCCAATCATGGGCTGAATATTATTAAAATAGTTGGGTGGTTTCATAAGTGGCAGCATGTTGTATGTTTCATTTAATTTGAGAATAACAATTTGATGCAGCTTTTACAGCAGTCTTACAACAACAAATAAGTTGTTTTACATGATATTTTTAAGCCATCAGGATGATAAATTACAAGCTGTCAAAGTCTTTTGTTAAATATTGAGGTTTCTTTTAATGAATGGAACAAATTTGTGGAACAGTGTTGCTTTTTATCATACATTTCTTAGAGAAGCTTGTCAGGAATAGTTAATACTAACACAGCATGCCATGTGCGTCATAAAATGCTTTTTGTTCTATTTCCTTTAACTGCTGAACTGGAAATTTTGCAAAAATCCAGTGTATTCTTTTTACTTTGTCTCTTTTACACGGTATTCACAGAATCACAGAAATGTAGTGAATCTACTAAAGCAGCTGTCCTAGAGTAGGTAGCACAAGAAATTTTCAGGTAGATTTTGAATATCTCCAAGGAAGGACACTCCACAATCTCTCTGGGCAGCCTGTTCCAATGGTCTGTCACTCTCACAGTAAATGATTTTTTCCTCATGTTCATATGAAATGTGTTCCAGTTTTTACTCACTGCCCCTTGTCCTGTTGCTGCACATGACTGAAAAAAAAGTCTGCCCTCATCCACTTGACTTTCACTCTTTAGATATTTATAAGCATTGATAAGATTACCTCCCACATTTCTTCAGGCTGAATAATCTCAGGTCTCTCAGCCTTTCCTCATGTGGTAGCTGCTTCAGTCTCCTATCATCTTTGTAACACTCTGCTGGACTCTCTTGAGTAGTTCCTTGTCTATCTTGAACTGAGGAGCCCTGAACTGGACACAATATTGCAGGTGCACTTGAGTGCACCCTCAGCAAATTTGCTGACACCAAGCTGAGTGGTGCAGTTGACAGAAGGAAGGGATGCCATGCAGAGGGACCTCAACCTTGAACAGGGGGGGCATGTGAAGCTAATGAGGTCCAACATAGCAAAATGGAAGGTTTTGCAATTGGATCAGAGTAATCCCAGATACATGTACAGGGTGGGAGAAGACCTCTTTGAGAGCAACCTTGAGAAGGACCTGGAGGTCCTGGTGGATGAAATACTGAACATGAACCATCAGCATGCTGTTGCACTTGGAAGGGCAATGGTATCTTGGGCTCCATCAGAAGAGGGGTGGCCAGCAGGGATGGAGAGGTGATTGTTCTTCTCTACTCTGCCCTCGTGAGGCCCCATCTGGAGTACTGGGTCCAGGTCTGGGGCCCCCAGTACAAAAAAGATGTGAAGCTGTTCAGAGAGGGTACTCACCAGGGCAGAGCAGAGGAGGAAGATCACCTCCTTTGCTCTGCTGTCCACATACTTTTTAACTCACCCCAAGATACCAGTGGCCTTGGCCACAAGGGCACATTGCTGGCATATGGCTAATCTGTTGTCCACCAGGATGCCTAGGTCCTTTTCTGTAATGTACAGAAGATATCAAATGTTATCTTTTCACCTCCTTTTTCACTGTGTTTCCAAGGATGCAAAAAGCAGTATTTTATTCTAGTGCCAGAGTGCTGACTATAAACATATTCTATGTAACTAAAACTTGCTAAGTCTATGAATAACTTTGAGGTCAGCTCTGCTTTAATTATTAAGGTGGATAGTAAGATCTCCAGAGTTCTCTTTGAATCTAAATGATTTTCTCATTTTAAAACTCCAAATTTCAGATTCAAATTTTGAATCTATTTCTCTCACACTTGGATGCTTACTGTAACTTTAGCTTTAAATCTAACATCTGTAAGCTCATGTCAACATGTTGGCATCTATCTTTTCAGAATTGTAATTACCATGCAACACTGCATTCAAATTTTAAACTGTTCCCTTATAAAAATATTTATACAGTGAGATCTGAAAGCTAGCTCCATATATCTTTAAACTGGGTTAAATCACACATTTTATAAATGATCTGGATGCAGGACTTGAATGCATACTAAGTCTGCAGATGATACTAAATTAGGAGGAACTGTTGATTCACTAGGTGGTTGAGAAGCCTTGTAGACAGATCTTGATAAATCTGGGCAATCACCAACTTTATAAAATTTAGCAAGACCAAGTGCCAGATTCCGCATCTAAGATGGGGCATCCCTGCATGTATGCACAGAGTGGAGGATGAGATATTGAAGAGCAACCCCACAGAAAGGGATCTGGGGATTTTGATTGACAGCAAGTTGAATCTGAGACAGAACTATGCCCTGGAGCCCAAAGGGCCAACTGCACTCTGGAGTGCACCAGGGCCAGCAATAAACAGATAGCTGTCTTGAGAACTTGAGAAAAACGTTATTTCAGTCACGTCAGCAACTGCATTTATAAGGTTTGAGAACTTCACATAGGTAAAACAGTTACTAAAACAATTTGCACTAGGAATCTTTGGAGGCACTTTGTCTTATGATAATCAGAATATCAGATATTTATCAACTAGAGGTATCAAAATCAAGAAGAACTTACAGTTCAAACATTTTGATGGCATATACAGACATTATTTTCTTATTTACTTGTCTGAGTTTTCAAAATAAGTGTTACCTGGATCTGTGGCAGACATCAGTGATCCAAAAAATAAACAGTCAGTGAAGTGGAATTCCCATCCTTTTAACTGGCCAATGTGTACCATGGCCTTCACAAAACCATACATTATCAACCTGTCATAGGAAAGACAAGACACTCATGAAGACACAGTATATAACAGTTTTGCTAGTTTCACAATATTAAGCAGTTTCTTGTTCTCTTCAGCTTCTTTTAAATAACCATACCATTTGAATAATGAACATAAATTACTGTCATAAAAATTCTATTTCCTATTAAACTATTCCAGCACCATTAAACTTTATAGACAGTTCAAATGCAAAGACTTTTATGAATAATTGCCCTCTGCTGTTGGCAAAGGACAATACTTCAAGTTGTTTATTTTTCAGAAGGAAAGATAATGTAAGCCGAAAAAGACATTATCAAGACAGATTTGCCTAATGTTATAGAGCCTTTACACAAAGACAGTAAAAATCAGCTGTGTGGTTTGTTCTAACATTTTTAAATTAATCATCTTCATAGCCATTAGCTTTTAAATATTGTATTCAAAATTCCCGATGAGTTTTTAAATGAGGCAGACGTTTCACAGCTCACAGTGTTTCACAGTGAGGCAACAAAGTCACACTTCAAAATGCACTGCTGAACCTCCCATAGATTCACACAAAGTGTTATCAGTGGTTTATATAATTCATTAATAATTTCAGAGATGTGTACTCTAAGAATAACATTGAAATATCTTAAAAAAAATAAATTTACTTATTGTTAAAATCTGTAGTATATATATATTTTAAATGTATATTTCTGATCTAGTTAATATGTAAATCACTCCAAAAGTAATGGCTCCTATTTATTTTCATGGAAACTACAACTGATATGAGGAGTGCAATAACACTGTTTGACAGAGCAAATTTTCAGCTACAAAAACCTAAAAAGAGGGAAACAGGTCATCATAGAATTCCCCAGTGGTCAGAAATATTTTTGGACTGTTTAAGAAACTGCTGGCTTAAATGAATCCGAAGAATCTGTACTTGCACCTCATCCACCTGGCACATTTGAAAATATGCACACAAATCCTTTCATACTGAGATGAACTTTTAAAACTTAGTTGTTATCTTTTCTTTAAAAGCTGTATGTTTTTAATAAGGGCTGTACATTATTCAAAGTGATCATTTATCATCACTCAGAGTGACTTCTTATTGGACACAGCCACACAAATTGAAAAAAATGAAGTGCTCTTAACATTATAGAACACATTGCTTTCATTTTCCATTGTCACTTTCTACTCCTCTCAAAATTCAGTTTCTTATCATCTCTGCAGATTACACAAGAAGTTTGGCACAGAGGCTATTTTGAAAAGTGGAAATCAAAGGGCACTTCTAAACTGGAGTAACTTCTCTGATGTTTGTAAAATTAATTGAACTATGGGTGAGAGTTTGCTCTCTGGAAAATCATTTAATAAATTTGCCATAATACAATCTGCTTACTATTAATGAATTTGATTTTACCTCATTGCATTTATCTATACGTATCACAAGCTGAGCATGTAACATGATTAGTTTTTTACAGATTTACTTTTTAAATAAAAATACTTCCGTTACTCTCCATTAGAAATCAGATCCTTTTCTCAACTTTATAGGTTAGAACTAAGAAATGTCCTCTTACATCACAGAAGTTACTCTGTATCTTGGAGTGCTCAAACCAAGGTCAAGTCCTAACCCTATGCATTCCAGCTAATTTTTTATTCAAAATTGTTTGTTCAAAAATGCCAGCCTTGCTTTAACATTTTATTAGCTGATAGAGATTGTTCAGGTGATGCAGTCTAGTGTAGACAAACACAAACAATAAAGCAATTTATCTATGACAAATGTTAACAACAAATCTCTTTAGAGAAAGAATTAATCCACTGTGACTTTTACACTACATATTTAAAACTGGAATCTCATCCGGATACTTGAGCTTCCAACTGCAGTGACATTAAACATCATAAAATGCTGCACAACATAACTGCTCTTAATGGAAATCCAAGGAGAAAAGCATACACCAGTGACAAGTTTCAGCAAATCAAATTGCCTTAATAATCTTCAACAGTCCATTTAGTATACATTTGAAATAAAAGTATTATTAAAATATCAGTTATAAAGATATAAATAAGGTGTTAGTACTCTTGAATTTTCACCGGAATGTTGCTTTCCCACTGGAATACATTCCCAGTCCAGTCCACACTGTTTATGAAGAGTAGGCTATTGACACAGATCAAGTTAATGAACAATATAAAACAATACTTCTGTTTTTCCATCTGTCAAATAATCTTTGTTACTGAATTTTGTATCAGAACTGAGATCTCCAGGGCTCCATAAAGAAAATAGAAGCCCAGCTGCAACTAACATAACATATTTCCAATATAGCTTTGAAAATCTTGCAACATAATTCATATGCGTCTTAGATCATGTTTTTAATCTACTTTAATCTTGTAGATTCTTTGGGAAAGTGGATGCCCCTTCAGTATGAGACCTTTCTCTCTGTGCCCTGAGCAATACTTCTCTGATAATAAACTTTATAAAGTAATTGCTGTTTTCTACATGTAAGTCTGAATTTTGCATTTTTGCTGTGAAATATGCATCATTTAGAGGTCTCCGTTAGTCACTTGAGATATCATTCTTTTTTTCCCATAGTGAAGAAGCATGTATAGTTAGTGGAACAAAAAAATACAAGCAACAGATCTAAGAAGAGACTTAGACACAAGGCTCTTATGTTGAGAATAGGAATCCTGAGTTGCTGCCTAGAACCTTGCTATCCTTTATTTTCATCAGTAAAGCTCCTTAACTCCCTTACCAGTCTTTGAGGGATGAAGGAGGTTTTCCAGCACTGTGTAATGAAGGTACTGCTTGTTCAAAGATCTTTTTGCATTCCTGATCTAGTGAATGACTGGTCTTGCCACAAAGATCTGTTAGAGAGTTGCTGGGCACAAAGGTCAAAGATGAATGAAAAAGGGATAGTTCCACTTTGCTTTCCCCTTTTCCTCAGTTCTCTGATACATAAGGTGTGTGAGCCTCAGGTTCAAATTCCTGCTTCACCTTGTTAACCTTCTTCATTTTCATTAGAGAAGAAGCTGAAGAGAGACTCCAGGTTCCTAGTGCCTAGAAGCTGCTTCAACTTGCTTAGCATTAGCCATTATTCATTAAATTAGACAGCTGGGAAGTGTGTGAATATGTATGTTTGATGTGGTAACAGATGACCTTGGTCCTCATCTTGGGTAAGGGAAAGTCTGAGCATGAGGCTACCACACATTGATGTCTAATTCTTTTCTCCTCTATTCCTTCAGCTTTGTTTAGGTAATTTGAAGATGTGGATTTTGCTAGGTGACAAAGTGTCTCAATCCATAGCTGTTTTGGATCTAGAAGTATATTAAAGGAATAATGTATAATCACTATTTAGCAGGGAATTTATTTTGGGTTGCCCTACCCTCTTATCATGAATAAATATGCAAATTCATCAAATTCCCTGTATGACCTGATTAGAAAAATATTTTAGAGAAAAAAGGTGTGTAAACTGAATAGTAATGAACAGTCACTGAAGACTTCTCAGACTCGGTGGTGGCTCACTGCTGCAAACAATATTTGTGAATAACTGATTTGGTCAATGATTTGGAATATTAATAAAGGAATACAATAGAAGAAAAAAACTCAGCTGTACTTTAGGAGACCTGACATTTTCTGCACCCAACATAATATTATTTGAAAGCATGGGGAATATCACATCAAGCCAGAACATGTATTTTTTGCCATTTAACAGAAAAGGAAAAAACAGAAATGTAAATGAAACACAGGAGAATTTAGAATTTTCCAAATTATGCAAGACTGGCAAGTACAAAGTGCCTCAGCTCTAAAATATGCTACACACAATGTTGTCATTGCACAGAAGAGGAAACACCATATAAATATTTGACTTGAAGTCAGAATCATTTTCTGGGAAACTGAGCTTTCGTTACAAGTATTTCTGGTGTGAATAAACAAGTAGACCACATGAAATCTCAGTAGAACACAAAATAAACTTCAGACTTAAAAAAAAAATAAAAAAAAAATCAAAGTAAATAACAGTTACTGAAGAACCAGAATAACAATTCTGCATAGCACTTGTGGTTCCAAGCATCTGGCCTGCATTAAAGCTTACCTGTGTGAATAAAGAGGAAATAATATGTTTGTTAGAGGTCCAGTTGGTTGGGGTCTTTTTTGTTTGTTTGTTTTGTTTTGTTTTGCTTTTTAATTCCCACAGTTCAGTTGGTACAATTTTTTTTGCTGTGCCTTCAAGAATGGAGTATGTAGAGAGCATTGGCTGTCTGGGTAATGCTGGATGTTTACAGAGAGCTTATGAATACAGATGCTCTCAAGGAAGTCTAGTCTGGGACTGGGACATTCTAGACCAGCTGCTGTTTAAATGTAGAGGAAGAAAAGAGCTCTCTCCTAAGGAGTAACTATTTAAATGCTCAGGAGAAGCTGCACATAACTGTGCAGTTTACAAGAGTTTCTTTTAGCAACAGCTGGTTTTAAGAAATCATGTGAGAAGAGATACTGAAATTGCTTTGGGGGTTTTGGGTAAGCTCTGAAAGTTCTGAATATTAAAACATCTGTCCAAAACACAGCTAGTAAATACGAAATTATTTGTAGTTTTACAGTAAAAGCCAGCAGGGTGTGTTTGATGTAGAATAGAAGGAGGCTATAGGAAAGATTTAAAGCTGTCAACAATTTTAACAGAAGGGTTGAATAGCCACAAATGGGGTCAGATTACATCAGGGAAGGCATGAGGAAAAAGATACTGGAGTCACCAAGAGAGGAAAGATGAGCTCCTGGCAAGAGTTTAGCCGTATGAGTGGACAAGAAGGGCTATATAAGAAACACGTCAATAAGCAGCATACCTAATAACTAAACACATAGCAAAAGGTTTTACCATACCTAAATGCAGCTGGCAAATAGCAGCAAGTTACAAGCATTTCTGGATATGCAAGCCCACTGGATATGGGGTCCAAAAACACTGTGGAGAGGGACAACATATGCATGAACAGCAAGCAGAGGAGAGAACAGTGCGATGACAGGCAGAGATTGCCACTGACAGAAGAACC